TTTCCTTAGAAAAAGCCATAATTTTGAGCAATAGTATATTACTGTACTCACTTTGTACTCAGATGTACTAAGTTAAAGGAATAAACTTTTTATTTCTTATGTAAACTATGACATGTTTATACAGTACTCAAATTAATCTTTATCTTGCGAGGATTTCAGCAATGCAAGTTATACCTGTATTCTGCTACGCAGAGTCTGACATTTTATAAGAGAAAAAATTTAACCGTAAAAACACCTTCCTTTATCACCCACCGCCATCTCGCATCCCATGCTGGCTGGGAGGAGTGGGGTGTTGACAGCCAGGAGGCTCAGGAGATAACTGGGTGCATAGTTATGGGGGGAGGGGGAGGAGTCAGGGTCTCAGGATTATAAAAGACAGGGAGTTTTTTTTGCTTATAAAATTGCTTATCAAATTACACTGTCTTAACTTAGCAGAATATAACTTGCATTGTTGGAATTTTTGCACAATGACAAATAATTTGAGTATAAACACCCCATTGTTTGCACTAGACATCAAAGTTTTAGAAATTAACTCTGTACATTTGGGTACAGGTTGAGAATCCCTTAACTGAAATCCTATAAGCTGAAAACCTCCGAAATCCGTACTTTTTTTTGAGCACTTGTCGTGGAAAATTAAATTAATTTCACAAGGCTTTTTTAAAGTTCCCGTGCGATGTGTGGGTCCTGATTTGCCACAGAGGGTTACAAGTGTGACCCAATCTAGCTTAACTGGGTCAGGGTGGTGGCTGTTGGCGTCAGTTGTTCTGCACTTATCACAGTTAGACATCTGCGCATTACTCAGTGATTTTTGTGCTTTTTCTGTGGTTTGTTGCAAGAAAATACAGTTGAAAATGTCAGAAAGACCTGCAGGAATCCCTATGGGTAACAGTGAAAAGAAAAAAAGGAAGGAATTATGCTTATTCATAGCACAAATTATTGAGTTATTGCAAAAACTTGATCATGGTGTAAGTGCGAGGCGACTCACAGAGGAGTTTGGAGTTGGAACGACCACCATTTATGACCTGAGGAAACAAAAAGACAAGTTATTAAAGTTCTACAGTACACTGAAAGTGATGAGCAAAAGCTTATGAAAAATAGAAAAACATTTCATAAGGCAAAAAATTAAGAGCTTGATTGTGTTTTGAAAGAGTGGATTAGTCACCATTGGAGCGAGCATGCGCCGCTTTATGGCATGCTGACCATGAAACGGGCAAAGATTTATCATGATGAACTTAAAATTGAAGCTAATTGATAATATTCAGCAGGCTGGCTGCAGAAATTTAAGAAGAGGCAATAAATATTTATAGGTTTGTGGTGATAAAGCTTTTGCTAATCATGAGGCAGCAGAGAACGATATCAACGAGTTTGCCAAGATTATCACTAATGGATATCTAAAACCAGAAAAAATCTACAATGCTGACGGGACAGCATTGTTCTGGCGTTATTGTCCCAGGAAGACACTAACTACAGCTGATGAGAAGCATCCTACAGGAGTTAAGGATGTCAAGGACAGACTGACTCTGCTGGGAAGTGCTAACGCAGCAGGCACACACAAGTGTAAACTTGCTGTGATAGGCTGTTTTAAAGGCGTGACTTTTTACCAGTCCATCATTACACCAACAAGAAAGTGTGGATCACCAGGGACCTCTTTTCTGACTGGTTTGATAAACATTTTGTACCAGCTGCTCACAAGCAATACCAGGAAGCTAGACTGGAAGATGACTGCAAGATTTTGTTATTCCTTGGCAATTGTTCTGCACATCCCCCAGCTGAACTTCTTGTCAAGAATATTGTTTATGGCATTTACTTCCCCCAAATGTTACTTCATTAATTCGGCCATGTGACCGAGGGATCCTTAGAGCACTGAACAGCATGTTGGCAGCAGTGAACAGAGGAGTGGGTGTGGAGGGTTTCCAAAAGCAGTTTACAGTGAAGGATGCCATCTGCACCACTACTAGTACTTGGAATGCTGTAGGTAAGGACACCCTAGCGAATGCTTGGCACAACCTCTGGCCGTCGACTATGTTCAATGACGATGAACATAAATGATGACTTTCAAGGATTCCGTGTGACAAGTGAGAAACAAATGATAACAAACCTCCTTACATGCGCAAAAGGTATACCCTCGGATGCTGTTAAGAAGCTGGAGGAAGCTGACATAGAAGAAGTTCTCATCATTGATAATGATCTTCCAGTTGTTAATTCATTGACTGATAGTGAAATAGCTGAGATGGTTCTGAATCAAGGTGATAGTGATGCTAACAGTAAAAGTGCCCATAGACGACATGGTGAAAATGTGTGATGGAGTTATTGATGGACTAGAGCAACGTGCATTCATAACTGAACAAGAATCATGTCAGTTTATAAGATCAAAGAGTGATTACTATGACAAAAATCATTGTTAATGAGACAGATGTTACTAGAAGAAACATTTAAGAAAGTCATCCTTCAGAGTGCATCCTCATCCCTAGAGCATTAATGAATGAAGGTAAGAGACAGATTGTGCTATGGCAAATTTCAGGGGCAGTAACAGGTAGGCCTATGGTAGTGGTTGCTTGCCTATCTGATTTTTTGTTTTTGTTTTTTACTGGGATTAACCCACCCGGGCACAGGTCACTGACCCACATCGGGTCCTAGGGGGCGAAAATGTAATAATTATTCAAATTAATAAAATTGATAACAACAATGATAATAATAAAGACATACAAAAATGAAAAAAAAAAACAAGATCAAAAGTGAGAAACAACATATGTATGTTGTGTTGTCAATAGTAAGGGAAACAATTGAGACCCTGCAATTGTGTGTAAATGAGGCAAAAAGTCAAATGAGCAACTAGGACTTGGTTTCAATTTTTGTGATGCCATATGGCAGCAGGGTCTACCAATCTACCAATGGACAACACATTATGTTTCCAATATCTTCACAGGCGGTAGTACCTCCCTGTGTGGTAGCTGCCTACTACCTGTTCAATTTGCATCTTTTTGGTCAATCCAGAATGCGACGTCTAGCTTTATACCTAGGTACAGTCAGTTCTGCTATAAGCGCGATAGTTGTGTTCTTGTAAAACATCGTGTTATAGAAATTCGCGTAATAGAAATAACAGGGCTTATGGAGAAAATAGGGTTTGGTGCAGATTACTACTCGAAATCGAAAAAAAAAATTTAGTAGCCTAACACAAAGGATAGCACAGTCTAAATAAATGTTAAATTCATATCTAATAATGAAATCATGCAGTAAATGTAACACTTTACCTTGAAAAAACATGAATATAACTTGATAGGGGAGAAGGGTGATTTTGAGGTTGATAAGACCGAGCTTCTCTTCAAGGGTTATAGCCTTTCATTTACGATCATCACCGGGAATGCGATCACCAGAACGCTTCTTGGAGATATTCTTCTTTACCATATTCACAGTTAATACCACAAAATTGGAGAAATAGTGAGCAAAAATCGCGTTACAGCAAACAAGCGTTCGCGTTATACAAATATCGTTCTTCTATTCATAAATCGCGTTAGAGCCAACTCGCGTTGTCAAAACACGCGTTATAGCAGAACTCACTATGTAAATGGCTAGCATCAACTCGCCAGGCCAACATACAGGCAATTAAAACATCTAATAATTACTTAAATCTTATTGTTTCATGCACAAAATTATTAAAAATGTTGCAGTAAACTACTTGCAGACTAGATGTATCCATATTCAGTAAATGAGATCTACATGAATTTCATGCTTAGACTTGGGCACAGTTTCCTCTGGGTGAGGTACCTGTACCCCATTATACAGGTATACAGTGTACAGGTATCCCCAAATACGAAAAAAAATTCGTGCCAAATGATTTTGGATTAGGGATTCTCAACCTGTAATGTGTTTCCATTTGCCCTGGTTTATTCACTGATCAGTTGTCTAAATGCAAAAGCAGCCAAATCGAGCCATCATGTATCAATTAATATTAAAATATAAATTATAAAGTAAAATGTTATAAGACAATGGTTTAGGAGTGCTGTTAATGTGTGTGTTGTGGAAGTCTCTTCGCCTGTAACCTCACCAACTGCCGCGTCTCCTCACCAACTAACTCGTCACCTATCCCTTCACCTCGTCAGCTCAGCTCGGAATTACAGTGATTTATTATTGTATTTTGCTCTTATAGTATTATGTACATTTAAAGAAATATGTATATTTGCACAGTAATTATAAATAGACCCAGAGCTGAAAAATCCAGCTTTTCCCCAGCAGTTGGTCTTCCCACCCACGCACCAACCTTGTGAGGATGCGGCTAAACATGATGCATTCATTCAAAATGCCAGTAACCCTTCTCCCCAGGCCCTGAGCAGAAAGGTTTGGAGTATTTTTCTCGCCATTTTCTCCGATTTTCAGGGTTTTGCCTTTTATTTCATAATTGACACTTGCTCCCCAACCCATAAATAGAAATTTGGACAGATTTTGTTTTTTTCCAGAAAATGCTTCCGATTTCAATCTCGGAATTTGTTCCCAACCCGAAATTTAGGGAATTTTCCAGAAAAATTCTGAGCAAATTTCAATTCTGGGAACTGTATTGAAGAGTTCGTGGCTTGAGGGATTCCGGCTAACGGAGATATTACTGCATAACATAAAACACATTACAGACAATTGAAATTACTTGAAAAATATTTCACTATTAAACATCACTGTATTCCAAACGTGTACAGCAAGTGTAACAGGGAGGGTTTGAGAGGAGTTAAAGAGACAAAGACATAACCTACCACCTTGTCACCGATGCAATTAGTGCTACACAATAATATGACTTGATCCGTGTCATGGTGTGCGAGAGAGTTAATGAAGATGGAGTGACATAAAAGTTAAAAAGCATTAAGTTTCTGATTTCCATCACACATTCACAAATAATGGAGTGGAACAGGTACCTGTATGTGAAATTGTATAGATAAGCACATTCCTGTAGTGTTACCAAAGGTTTCATTACAAATCAGATGAATGAAATGAGTTTATCCTCTTATGTGTTGTAGGTGGTGAATGAGGGAAGACTTGAGACTCTGGCTGGGCATGCCGTCGCACTTCTCGATGTCCTGCTTCTGGTGTGGCGCCTTGGACGACGACGTGGCATCAGCGGCAAAGTCCAGGTATCTCCTCCCCCTCTTACTGTAACTCTCCCAGGTTCCAGATACCTCCCCACCCAGGCTCCATGTGCTTCCCTTCCTTCTTACCGTGGCTCCTTCAGGTTCCAGGTGCCTTCCCTCCTCAATTTGGCTCTCCCAGGCTCCAGGTGCCTCCCATCCCTCTTAATGTGGCTCTCCCAGGCTCCAGGTGCCTCCCCTCCCTCTTAATGTGGCTCTCCCAGGCTCCATGTGCCTCCCCTCCCTCTTAATGTGGCTCTCCCAGGGTCCAGGTGCCTCCCCTCCCTCTTAATGTAGCTCTCCCGAGGTCCAGGTGCACTCCCTCCCCTCTTAATGTTATGGCTCTCCCGGAGCTCAGGTGTCTCCTCCCCTCTTAATGGCAAGCTCTCCCAGGCTCCAGGTGCCTCCCCTCCTTAATGCTTGGCTCTCCCCAGGCTCCAGGCCTCCCTGTGTGTGGCTCTCCCAGGCTCCAGGTGCCTCCCCTCCTTAATGTGGCTCTCCCAGGCTCCAGGTGCCTCCCCTCCTTAATGTGGCTCTCCCAGGCTCCAGGTGCCTCCCCTCCTTAATGTGGCTCTCCCAGGCTCCGGGTGCCTTCCCTCCCCCTTAATATTGCTGTCTCAGGCTCCAGGTGCCTCCCTCCTTCAATGTGGTTCTCCCAGGCTCCAGGTGCCTCCCCTCATAATGTGGCTCTCCCAGGCTCAGGTGCCTTCCCTCCCCTTAATATTGCTGTCCAGGCTCCAGGAGGCATTATATGAAATGAACCAACCTAACCTAACCTAGTCTAATCTACCCAAACAAAGTTTTAAACCTAAACAAACCAAATTTAACATAACAACACAATATATATATATATATATATATATATATATATATATATATATATATAGAGATTTTCATCATTGCCTCGTGAGTGTCCGGCCTGGGCTATTTTTAGATTTTGCTTCCGCCGCCGCCGCCCGCCTCTTCCTCTCCTCCCTCCGCTTGGGCCGCGGCGTAGTGATGTGTGCGTGTGTGTCTTTGTTATGTTATCACTGCGTCATATACGATGTGGACTGGATTGCATCCCTACCTCTGCTGCCTGGCTATGGGTAGAGAAATGTGTGACGCAGGAGGAGGAGGGAGGAGGAGGAGGCAACTCGGCTTGCAGCGGCAGTTTCGCCCTCAAAGGCACCCCGGTTATAACGCATCCATTGTTCCGTAAAATGGCCTTGGATGCCCCAGAGGGCCTTTCACCTGGAGCCATTCGTAAAAGAAGACCGACGTTCATTAGGCTACGGATGGAAATTACAAATTGTTCAAGATTTGGAGAAGGAGGCGATGCGTTGATCTGTAACCGGCATGGCGTCACGAATCTACGTTCATGATCGATCAGAAGGATGCAGCCAAGATCAAAGGGCATGAAATCATAAAGTCTGCAGTTTACCTCTATCAGGTATTGAAGAACAGATCTTGCAAAAGTGGAAATTGCAGTGGAGTTATTTGGTGCGTCAGGCGCGGCACATGGCGGTGGACCGCTCAGTGCAGGATGCGCCGCGTGAGCTATCGCGGCAGTGACACGTAAACTGGGAATTGCAGAGCCTAAGCCCTTCAATGCTTCTGGTTGGCTGCATGGGTTTAAGAAGAGAACAAGATCACCAACATCAACATTGGTGGTGAGGAAGCGGTGTGACCGTGTGGCGGCTAGAATTTTCTCCGTTTTCGTGAGATTATGGAGGAAGGACAGTAAGTGACGACCGGTGTTTAACATGGACGATATCTGGTCTTTCTGGAAAAAGTTATCTTTCAAGACCTTCCATTGTCCGTCTGCCAGCAAGGTGGGGGTCGGAGAGTTTCAGAAGAATATCATCCGTCCTGTTTACCCAATGCTCCGGTGAATCAAAGTTATCGTTGATTCACAAAGGCCCGCCGTGCGCCTACAGAATATGGACATGAACAAGCTTAATGTCCACTGGCTGTTACCCATTAAGGCGTGGATGTCCTCTTCTCTGTCCCTCTTCTGGTTTGACAACTGTTTTGTTCCTGGCGTGCAGAAATTCTACGGTAGCAAATGTTCCATTCAATATTTTTGTTGCTCATGAGCAACACCTGGACACTGCGCCCTTACTTAGGTGTCTACTAGCGTAAAAGTGGTCTTCCTTCCTCCCAACCTACTGTCATTAATCCAGCCCATGGACCAGGGTTGATCTACAGTAAAGCTCGTGCTCAAAGACAGCCTGAACGACTCTACCTGAGATGAGTTCGTAATGGTGCCCAGGTGGCAGGAGGCGAGGACAAGGAACAAGAGGCGTGACTCAGAACACCTTCAAACAATTTTGGGAGGATTTAACGTTAAACAATCTGAACTTCTTGGTGGAGGCATGGGATCTGCTGACTATTGCTCACGATTAGTCACGCATGGAACATATGTTGCAGCACATCCAGGTGGAAGGTAGTGAACCTGTGACTGAGTCAGGTTGACTGTTGCAGTAGCAGTGACCTTCCAGAAGCTGCACTCACATTCAGCTGAAGGCTTCTCCGAGACCACTTCACGAGAACATCCTGGAGGTGATCAAGATCCTGAAGTGACTGCTGAGGATGTTGGAAGAAGAACACGCCAGTGAAGAAAGTCGTCATTCTCCGAAGAACCTAGTTTAAGTCTGGTGATATTAGTGTGTCATAGGGTTTAAGAAAAATTAAGTCGTCCTTTCGCGATAATGGCGATTGAGCAGCGCTAGAAGTCTTCCCTCCGAGCTGGATTTGAGCCGCAGAGTGCATCAAGGTGTATCGACAACATCAACACCAGCCGTCGTAAAGTACTGACAGGTTCGCCGCCGCAACCTACAACAGCCAGCCCAGCCAGTGATAGTGAAAGTGAAGTTGACTTTGAGGTTGTCAGGAAGCCTGACAACTGTAAACAGTGATGTTGATCCTAAATGGGTTGATTCACCTGATGGCCAGTAATCTGCCTCTGCTTACCCGAGCCTCCTCCCGATTCCGCGATATCTCTTCTACTACCGTAGGTGTTTCACCCAACTTTTAGTTTCTCTTAGGTAACCTTCATTTTCCTATGTTAACTTTATCTTCTAACCTAACCTCTTCTATATTACTTGTTTTTCATTCATCATAAGGTTAGATAAATTTTACTACAACATATTTATGTCGTCAAAAATTGGAGTTTGGGGTCGGCTTTGGGTTCTATTGATTAATCCCTATATTTCTGTTTGTTCATAGCAGTTCAGTTAGGGGACCTCTGGGTTAATTGAACTAGAGTAAATTTATAAATATATATATATATATATATATATATATATATATATATATATATATATATATATATATATATATATATATATATATATATATATATATATATATATATATATATATATATATATATATATATATATATATATATATATATATATATATATATATAGAATACCTAATAACAATATTTAACTAAAACAATTAAAAAACATTAACATATCTGAACATCAGGAGGTTAGGTGAAAGTCTTTTGTTTCATGTAGTTTGTATTTATATAAATACATTACGTTTCGCAAACTACTATTTATTTCTGAATATGATGTAATATTTTGCTGAAATGACGTCTATACAGTGGAAAGTGGGATAAAATCGTGATGAAAGCAATGAATTTCACTTTCTTTCGTTCAAAAGATATTACCGTAATCGCTTTTTGAATGGTTTTCAGTTAAAAACTGTTGTATTACAATAATATTCTATCCTAATTCACTTGTGATGCAACAGTTTTTTAACTGAAAACGATTCGAAAAACACGTGTACCATCTAGCTGATACGGCAGAGCCCTCGTCGCGGAGGCTTTGTTTTTGCATTGGCCCTTCTTAAGCAGCCTTTAATTTTAGCGTACGTTGAAATTATGTTTACCGGTATATTCTTATTTTCTTGTTTCTTATTTTCCAGAAATATGACAAGTTTGTATATAATGCAATGTTACGGTACTTTTAATTTACAAGTATTCATTTATGAAAATACAGAAGACACCAAACAAATACCAGTACGAATATTTGCGTGACTCTCCCGCCAAAAAAGTCCAAACAGCTGGTGCTCTCTCCCTCGGCCCTACCAAAAATAGCCCAATGACATCTTTCTTGTTTATTCTCTTCCAATTTCTCACTTAAACTAGTATTTTTTACTTCATATTGCCTACATCAGATAAACTACAGTAATTGAGGTTAGACACTTATAAATTCGATTACCGGGTACTGGCAGGATGCCGTTAGAACCACCTGACCCTACCAACAGTGTTGCAAGTCAGACACATTATTTTTATTTTTTTTACATTTTTGGTGTCTCCATTTGTTAATTTTTTTTTGTGGGTTTGCACAATAGTAAACTGTTTTACCTACAGTATTGTAAAACGATTTGGGAAAAAAATACTCGGTAACTTAAAATTTTAAACGGAAAATCTTGAAACTGGCAACTGTGTGCTGAAGACGATGACAAGGAAAATTATTTTGAAGGATTTTCCTGAAAATATTCAGAAATATGGTATCGTAGTATTTATTCAAGTGAATTAGGATAGAATATTATTGTAATTCAACAGTTTTTTAACTGAAAACCATTCGAAAAGCGATCACGGTAAAATCTTTTGAACAACGAAAGAATGGTCAGGTATTGGGTAATGACCCTACTAATCTTTAAATTACCCAATTCCTGACCATTATGGACCTGGTCTCACCCTCCTCTGTATAAATACAGTACACCTTGTTTTGTACTTCTCTTTAGTCTGTACTCACCCCTGAAGATGTGAATTACACGAAAGCGCTTGGGAACTTCGTGTTTTCTTCTTTCCTTGTGGTTATCAGCATATACCTAGATCACGCGCAACTACAGTGATTTACTTGCATATATATATATATATATATATATATATATATATATATATATATATATATATATATATATATATATATATATATATATATATATATATATATATATATATATATATATATATATATATTATTAACCTCCTTTCACGTTAATGTGATATTTGGGAGGTACGGAAGCAGAGCCGTAAAGTAGATAATATAACATATGGGATTAATTGAAATGGAGTCCAGGGCAGTCTCTCACTCCTTTTGACTTGATACATAACATAATGTTGTAGTAAAATAACATCTATTTTATGATGGTACATGCACAATGTAATACTTTAGAAATAGAGAAATACAGTGCATAAGTTAATGTCCATTCAAAATGACTTTTCTCCTCTTCTCACACTTCACTGGCATCTTCCTCTCAGAAATTTTGGGAAATCCATATAGTAATAAATAATACCTCAAACTAAGTTATTAGGATAATATAATTGATATTGCTGGATTCTGTAGACCAGGAATATTTTGAATATAAATGTCTTTATTTTTCTAAAGATAACATATTTACTCAGATTAAACATTACATCTAAAATTTGTGTCTAGTACAAAATCTATGATGTTTATATTCAAAATGATCATCAAATTGTAAAATTCAATATATAATTATATTCTGGTGAATTTTTGTATGAATTTTATGAGCTAAATAAAAATCTTCAATTAATAAAAAAATATTTTCACACCACACGGTATAGATGGTGGGGTCATTCTCCCTCCCTCCTCCCACCCCACCCACTGTGATCACTATGATGGTAAATGGATACCAGATTGTTTACTGCTTTGTGTAATAAATATAAATCAGGACTAAGTTAGGATGAATATAATTGACATTGTGGATTCATGTAAGACTGAATATTTTGATATAAATATCATATATTTTGCAAAGATAGCATATTTTCAAGTAGACATTATATCTTAAATTTGTATGTCTAATGCAAAATATATATATTCAAAATGATTATCAAATTATAAATTGTATGTAAATTATATTATGGTTTTTTTTGTGTTTTTTTTGTGTTGTTTTTGTGTGTGTTGGGTTTGTGTGGGGGTGTGGTGTGGGGTTGTTTTATGTATGTATGTATATATATATATATATATATATATATATATATATATATATATATATATATATATATATATGTTATGTTGTTATGTTTATATATATATATATATATGTTTATATATATATATTTATGTTTATATATATGTGTATATATATGTATATAATTTGTCGTATAGCTTCGCTGTGGGTGTCGGCTGGATGCTGATTTTACCGCCATTGCGACGCCTCTCATCCTCCTTGGGGTGGCGGCGGTGGTGGTTTGGTGTGTGTGTGCTGTTGTTATGGTTATCACTAGCTTGAGCGTCTGGATTGTGATTGGCTGCATTCCCCTCTGTTGCTGGTTGTGGTGAATAGTATTATGGCGGGTTTGGCTGCCGGAGGAGGAAGGGAAGTGGAGACGGCTTGGCCGAGTCGTTTCATTCTCAAGGCACATTACTGGGTGCGCGAGTCCGGTGATCTTAAATGCTTTCGCGGATCCACACCCGAGAATAACTTTCCTTACCTGGACCCGGCGGCACTAACCAAAAAGAGACACGGCGTTCATTAAGCTCAGGCTGGAAGTACCATTGTTCAAGATTTGGAGAAAGGAAGGCATAAGTTGATCTTCAGCGCCGCGCGTCCGCATATCGATTCGTGCAATAAAGAAAGGGTCTGTAAGATAAAGGCACATAAATTGCAAAGTTCTGCAGGTGCTTCATCTATCAGATGAGCTACCAGAACAGGTGCTGGCAAAGGTGACTTTACTGGTAGGTTATTTGTGCGTCAGGCGCGACGCTATATGGCGGTGGACACGCTCAGTGGAAATGCTTTGCGTGAGCTGCTGGCAGCAGTGACACGTAAACTGGGTGCAAACTAAACCTCTAATGCTTCCGGTTGGCTGCATAGGTTTTGAAGATTACTGGTCTCTATCATACATTGTTGGTGAGGCGGTGCTGACCGTGCGGCTGATTTTCCTCCGTTTTGCGATTGGATTATGGAAGGACGGTACAGTGGCAGTTGAGGTGTTTATATAGGTTGAAATCTGTTTTCTGGAAAAAGTTACTTTCAGCCTTCGTTGTCCAGTCTCGCGAAAGCGGTGGGGCAGGAGATGCAGAGGCGCATCTCACCGTCCTGTTTCCATGCCTCCGGTGCCTGTAAACCAAAATTATCGAGTGATTCCCAAAGCCCTGCATTATGCTTCTACAAGAATATGGACATGAACAATTTGTCCACTGGCTAACCGCTTACGCGTGAATGGCGTGGATGTCTCTCTCTGCTCCTCTGGTTTGACAACTGTTTGTTCCTGGTAAGAAATTCTGCGACAACAGAATGTTCCTTTCAATATTTTGTTGCTCTTGACATGCATACGGACACTGGCTCCCTTGGATGTCTTAGCGTAAAAAATTGGTCTTCCTTCTCTCTAACACTACGTCATTAATCAGCCCATGGACCAGGGTTGAATGCAATGTTAAGCATACTAAACAAAATTCAAGCTCTGAACGACTTTACCAAGATGAGGATTCGCGGTGTGGCTGGGTGACTGGAAACGAGCAGGAAATAAGCTGCGAGGACAGGAACAAAGGCGGTGACTTAAGAACTTCTCGTCAAACAATTTTGGAAGAAGTTTAACGTCAAACAAGCTGTAGACTTCTTGGTGGAGGCATGGAATCTGCTGTCTATTCTCACGATTATGCATGGAGACAGTGTGTTGCATGCATACCAGGTGAGAGGAGAGTGGACTACTTTGAGTCAGGTTCTAGAGATGCAGAGTGGCAGGAGTGGACGCTCTTGAAAGCCTCAGTAATACAGCTGCTGAAGTTCTCGAGACCTGTGATGGCATCATAGGTGATCAAAGATCCTGAAGTGACTCGGCGAGGATGTTGGAAACCATCAGTGAAGAGGAGAAAAGGTGCGTCATTCTCCGAAGAACTTGTTTAAGTCATAGTGATATTAAGTGTTGTCGTAGAGTTAACAGAAAAATTGAGTCATCATCGTTTCGCGACGATGTGGTAGACATGGCATCTTCCTCCGACTGGTGCAGGCTTGGGGGTTGCATATATATCGAGGTGTATCATGACATCATCAAAACCAGCCGTCAGCAAAATATCTTGAGTTCTTGGCCGCAACCCACACAGCCAGCCCAAGCCAGTGATGATAGTGATAGTGAGTTGATTTTGAGGGTTTGTCAGGAAGCCAACAACTATAGTGACAGTATTATGATTCACCTAGTGAAAGGTGATTCACGTAATAAATGTTGATGACATTGATCTGCAGGGATAATCGTCCTGCCTCGGAACCAACCTCCATCCGTGTACGGTCCATTCTCTTCTACTACGTGGTAGTGTTCTGCCTCAAAATTTTCTGGTTTTTCAGTAACATTTTCCTATATTAACCTTTATCTTTCTAACAACCTCTTCTATATTCTTGTTTTCATACCACCATAAAGGTTAAGATAGAATTTTTACTACAACATAGTTATTTGTAGTCAAAAATGGAGTTTAAGTCGGCTGAGTTCTATTAGATTAATCCCATATATGTTCTATTTGTTCATACTTGTGATTCATAACATCGGGACCCTCTGGAGTTCAATTGACCCGTTAAGTTAAATTTTACTTATGTAACAATATATATATATATATATATATATATATATATATATATATATATATATATATATATATATATATATGTATATATATATATATATATATATATATATATATATATATATATATATATATATATATATATATATATATATATATATATATATATGCAAATATATACCGTGTATATATACCCGAGTTCTTAAGACAAATTTACACGGGCAAAAAGTTGAAATTAAACCTCTCTATCTGAGTAATAGTTTTGATTAGGTTGAAAATATTTACAGTAACTACCAGTAAACAATGGGTGATAACGAACGCACCTGGCTGTGAGTTGTGGGTACAGTTGCCAGGGCGGATCTCTTGCGTCATCTGTAAGCCCAAAGTAATAAATGCATGGTATGGGAGGTGGCACAGG